AGATTCACTTGTGCAAACAACAGCTTGTGCGAGTGTATGACTTACTTAAAAAAATCACATCCCAACAATTACTTGTTCTCCCACTTTTGCCCCTCCCGAAAAAATCACTTGCAAGTAGTTAAAAATCACCTAAAATCACCTTATTTTGCGACTTTCACCCCGCAACTGATCATCAACCTGCAACTGATCATCAACCCCCCTACTTCACCTTCGCGCCACCAATCCCCACCCCCATTTCAAGACTTCTAGATACGCCAGCGGAAAAGATCTGGTGGGTTCAGTGGGAGAAGCCTAGCTTTATGGATAGAAAAAGTTGTCTGTGATGATTTATAATGTTAACAATTTACAATTAAACATGCAGTACCTACGTTCATAAAAATAATGTTTAGTTATTCCACATGTTAAGTTTAAATAAAAAGTGGGTTTTCAAACTATAGACGAATGGTCAATAGTGGAAAAAATTGGTATGATGTCTACAGTATTACTGTGTTGTTAAAAGTCTGTTACAGGGGCTGGCGGATCCAGATTTTTTTTCAAACGCCGGGTGGGGGCACAACAGTTTCAAAATAGATAAGTGAGTAGCACATAACATTAATATGCATGGACATTTTTGAAATTTAGTGGCAAAACGGTGGGGGGGTCACATGCCTATGCCTCCCCCCCCCACTACTGGATCTGCTCCTGTGTCACATTACTACATCAATGATTTGTGCACCTTCCGACACCATATACGTAAAAATAATTTAAATTTCTATGGTGAATAACAATTACAATTACTGTACATAATTATTACTTCCATTAATACAAATATAGGCCTAAATCGTTAATCTACAAATACAGTTGCAACACTATAATTTAAATACAAATAGTAGTAGGATTTGCCAAGACTGTAATTCAAACATGGAATTATTATCAAAAAGTACCAAAAACATTTCAGAACTTTAGTGCACAGAGTATTTTTTGCATTTAAAACAAACAAATACAAGAATGGGGCGAAAATAAACTTGCGTTATAATTCGTACTAAATGCATCCGCTCGAACTGACATCCGCTTGAACTGTCATTCTCTCGAACTGTCATTCTCTCGAATTGACTGCCATTCACTAGCTATGTGCATCATGTCTATCACAAATTTCATATATCTACAGCTTGCAATTTTTAAATCTCAAAAACGGGTCACTGCGCATGCGAAACTGGATGGTGTAAAAAACATACAGGAACTACTGTACTGAGCGTAACAATAGCCACTGTGTTCTTATTAATTATTAGTTATTTATTTACTTATACCATCATCATCATCAGCCTGTCATGCCACTGGTGGCTGATGGCTTCCTCAAACTCCATTCTGATCTGTTCTTTGCCAGATTTGCCCAGTTCGCACCAAGCTCCTTTTAGAAAAGATCACTCAATCTCTTGTTAGATCTTCCTCTTTTTCTTTTGCGTCCATACTATTAACTTTTTGGCCCACCTGTTAATATGGTCCATGCGAGCTACATACATCTGTAATCGTTTTTGCCTTTCTTATAACTTCATTTTTCCACTTATCAAGTCTACTGATACTGATATTTATTTATATATTTATTCTTTATAAAGCTTCTTTTCCTAATTAACTTTAATTATTTATTAATTTAAATATGAAATTATCTGTCAAGAAACATGTATTTTTAAGTTTCTTTATTATTATTAATTGAATTTGTTTATATTATTAAACTCAATTTGTTATTAGGCCTAAACTCATATATTTTTTTTTTTCATTTATTTATTAAATAATTATATTTTGGAATGCTGTACTTTATTTCGTTTAGTTGTTTAAACATTTCTTCATTTCTTTAGTAATTGTATTTATAGTAATATTTTAAGAACTATTTATTGATTTCTAAGTTTATTTTAGTAATTCATTTTAATTTTTGAAGTAGTTTATTAACTGATTCATTCTTGCATTATAAATCAACAATTGATTAACTCACTTATTTAATTATTATTTATTCTTTGTCAGTTTACTACAGGTGTCTAAAAATCTATTGTTGCTATATATATTTCTTAGGTACCCACTTCAGCTGAATATTCAAGTATAGTGGAGCAACTACTTACCCACAACAAATATCATCCGATACTCAAATCAGAAAGGTAGGCCTACAGTTTATTATTATTGTATGCATGCATTCTTAACACATTAGCACCTATAATTGTAATGTATTGTAGTCAATTACTCCCTAGAGAGTTTGCTATGCTATATGAAAGGAATTAGACTCTACTACAAATAAACTAATATTTTTTTTATTGTTGAAAATGTTCCATTACAAGTTTTTATTTTGATGCATATTAAATAAGCATTCCAGTGACACCAAATACTTTGACCTTTGACTTTGAAATTGACCTTTGACTTATCATAGTTAACATTTCATCCAAAATTTGCAATTTTCTTTGAATTCATAATTAAAAATGATTTTGAATTTGCATACTTTACTAAATTTTATAATTATTTTATTGAGTGACATCAATTATCTGACCTTTGACTTTGATATACAGTATTGACGTTCGACCTATTCAACTTGTATTTGACCTTTATTGGTTTTTACTCAAAAAAAATATTATCAGCATGTTTCTTTTCTAAATTTTGCATAAATAAAAGCCTATATTATATAATATGATAGGGTGACAATAACTGATGTTTTTATGGCCTAATTCCTAAATTTCTATCAGTTTCATATACCATTTTCGGTGCAAAACTAGGAGTTTATTGATGAATAAGCAAGTAGCCTTCTTGGTTGCGAGTGTGGGGTAAAAAGTGGTACTGAAGCCCAAAAGCACCGCGCTGCCACAAACATCTATCTAAGACTAGACCTTTTGCAGGGTGGGTCATTCCATGCCAATTCAACGTGGCCGTGGAAGTCGCCGTCTCAGATTTTGTTTAAATTTTCAGGGTTTGTTGTAACCTTATTAACTAAGAAAAATCCAAAATTTCAGCTCAATCAGACCAATACTTTCCGAGATACCGGTGTCCGAAAAAGTGGGCGTGGCACCCATTAGAGCCGCCGGCGACATCGTTATTTGAATTCTTAAATTTTTGAAGTGTCATAACTTTTTTTATAGGTCACCCACAAAGCTAAAAATCACAGTACTTGCTCAACTTTTTAAGTAGATTCAGATTCTGCATTCAAATAATTACTTAGAACAATACTTTTTAAATTATGCTCTATCAAACATGGCTTCAGAATGAACGTGACCGGGCTTTCAGCTATGTTTGCTCGCCCATATCTCAAAAACTAGAAGGCCTACCCTGAAACTGTTTTTGGTTTCTTATACCCTACTAACTTCTGTGTAAGTAAAGTAAAGATGGACATAACCCAAGCATGAATACTACCAAATAAATGCCTCCCATTATGGTCCAGCCAGAAATTCGACAAATAAGGGTAGTCGCGTTTGGTGGTAGAACCCAATGTGGATTTTGAAATATCAACTTGAAAATTTAGCATAATTAAGTTCAATATATGTTACAATCATAATATTAAAAACATTGTTGTATAGTCACCATCTTCTTAAAATATTTTACAGGTCAAAATTACATGTAAACGCTGGCGACGTTGGCGTTATTTTGATTCTTTGATTTTTGAAATGTCATAACTTTATTTCAGGCGATTCAAAACTTCGCTTCTTCTCAACAGTTTGACCTTTGAATGCAAATTACGTCATTTTTTCAAATAGAAACCTCATTGGATGATGAGATATTCTGAAAAGGGATTTCCCAAAGTTTATGTAGACGTTTTTCGCTACACGCTACAGTTCGTATAACAGAAGTTATAGCGGGTTGAATAGCCAGGGCCGTTTAGGGCGGTCTAGGGACTAATGCGCAGAGCGGTTTGAGCGTCTAGTTCCTAATGGGTTAAATCAGTTGTACATATTGCACATAGACTTGCACATACAGTATTAGGATGCAGGATCCTCATTACATAAAGTCTCAGACACCTCTCTGACACACTGATAGAGATTGTTTTGAGCATGGAATCTATATTATACCTAGTTCCAGATATACTGCTTGCATGACTGGTTTACCGAGGGTAGTTAGAATGTGGCAAATAAAATGATCTGTAGATAGTCGTAAGGAGTGTGTTCAGAAATAGCTTGGTGTGAGGGTTGGTTAAAGTAAAGGGGAAAATATTTTGGCGTAAATGGGGTAGAATTGGGGATTGTTTTGAATTTTGAATACAGTAAGTACTGCATAATTTCATTGTATTTTAAAAATTAAAATTTCTTGTTGAATTTTTTTCTGAAGAAAAAAAAATTGTTAATCTAATCGAATTTTTCAATGTTTTATTTTTTTAACTTATTTTTTTTGTTTACTCAACATTTTGGATTCTTTGTTTTGACATATCAAGGTATTCTTAGAATTTTTTTATAGGAAGATCCAAGGGATTCACATGGGCATGGTGGTTGATTTTTAGCCAAAATTACCCAATTGCTTATTTTTGTTTTTATCATTTTTATACATCATTGGTGAATGATGATAGGCCATCTCATAGGCCTGAGGTCTGTTTGATGTTAGTGTATTCATACTGTTTTTTTAGTAGGCTATCCGTACCTACAGTAACTAGTTCAAGTAACCACTTGGGTCACCAACCCTTTATTCCAATGTCTCTGTTTCAGGTCTTTAGCATGTTTATATAATGTATTATCACCTAACTTTAATAGCGCTCTTAAAGACAATCTACCAATCTAAGTTGGCTTCTCTCCAAAGACTACTGTAGCCTTTTCTGTACTGTATTTTAGGCCTGCAAAGAATATTCATATTCATAATGTGAATTATGAACAGAAGTTTCTTTTATTTTTTAGTATGGAACTGTTTCAAAATATAGTGTTGAATAAATAAATAACACAGAATTATTTGGAATTTAGAAATGTAATTTGGGATTGAATCTTATTCGGACATGTATAGAGCACATCAAGTTTATTCCCTACCAGTGGTCAATTAGCAAGGTATATCTTTAACTAACACCACATGCATAATATTCATTTAAAGTTTTCAATTACAAATTGAACACACCACTAAAGAATCCTTGGTTGAATGTTTTTTATGTGTATCTTTCATTGTGTTTGCTTATGGTCATGACAGTTACAGGAAGCAACACACTTGATAAATAATACATATTTTAATGAACTTAGCTATTCTCTGTCTTAGAAATCTAGTATATTATAAGTAGTAATAAGTAAACCGGATTAGGAATGAACTAAATATGATTTATATTTACTTTGCAGTTCCCCGCTGAATTTCAAATTATAAATGATTTGGATAATGATTCTGTAGTCCTATTCAAAGCTGGCATAGACAAGTACTGATCTGCATTAATATCACGGTACAGAAATCAGCGAACCAAAAACGTATAATGCAGCACTGATTTGAATAATTCTTTTGGAATATTAAAGAGAAATTGGATAAGAAGGAAAACGGTGAGTTAGCAAGGAATTAACATTAACCATTAACCTAATATCTAATCATCCACGTTCCATTAAAGCTGTATTGTCCGATAAACTAAATGAAAAAATTCTTCAAAAATAAATGTTTGATTTAACTAACCCATTTTAATAATAAATGTCATGAACTTGAAACTATTTTAAAAATTGTTTTCTCTGAATTGTGGGCTGGTAATAACCAAACAATTCTAGAAACACTTCCAGTGTCTGTAATCCTTTACAAATTTTTTTACATTAACAAAGTGTGTATTAGGCCACGTAAAATAAAACAATTGGTTAGCATCCCCGCCCGACCGTCGGAAAAGCCCCCGACCTGAATTTTTTAAAATTTTTTTTTTTACACAAAACACTCAAAAACTCCACCTCCCGAAAGCAATTTATATAGGCCTAGGCTTGTTTACCATCCGTCCGAATGCTAGCCTAGGCCTAGGCTAGCCTAGTCCTTGCTTCTATCTAGAAAAGGCTTAGTTTTATAGTAATAATAGTATAAAAAGAGTGTATTTGTATACACGGTACAGCCGATGCAAGCAAAGCATTAGGATTTACTCGGGATTAGGTTTACATTAGCAAACTAAACTCCGATCCGATGCTTACTTCTCATGCTTTGTGCAGAAAAGCCAAGTCGGCCAATCAGCGCGTTGGTATTTCCATCACTTTGGAAGTAGACATATCCACAGCGCGAAAGAGAAACAAGGAGGAACGCTCTGTGGTGACCGGAGACAAGACAAGACAACAAACATGGCTGCGCCCATCAGTTTAAAACTGGCACGTTCACTTCTTACCTGTGTGCAATATTTCACGAAATGAAATTTTAAAGATGGACTAAATAAAACAAATATTTCACGCTATTTCATAGGTAGGATAGCATAAATTTATTAGGCCCTACTGGAAATATGAAATATATAGTGGCGAGATAGTGCATGCGTATATTAGTGAGCAAGCCATCCGGCTGTCTTTTGGACTGCCTACAATTATTAGCACGGCAACTTTTACCGTGACGGCTTGGACGGCTTGGCCTAATCAGCTCGGTTTAGCCTATGGGCCTGGTCTACCTTTAGCAAATTCTTTATATTCTTCAAATCTATCGAATGTTACATTAAACTAAAGCTAAATCATATTTACATTTGATAAAAACAACATTTATTGATTGAATGTACATTTTCGTACCAATAATCGGTGGGGATTACTAACAATGGGCGTGGCTCGCCCATCGGCTCAGTACCACGCCCACTGGCTTCCATTTTGGAAAAACAAAATGGCCGTCTATTTTGTTTTACTGGCGAAACCCCTGCGAGGCATCAATGAGGACTGTTGTGTTGTTCCAACAACAAACCCAGCATGATCCAGTTATAATTAATGTCCAGCAAACACAAACTTAAGCACAAAGCATGGAATATTCACATGCTGGTACAGTGACATAATGTTTCCAAACAGCTGATCCAACTAGATGTCAAAGTGTTTCTCAGCATAAACATAGCACATGATACTAGTTAAACTCATTAACAGTATTCACTATTGAGTATTATCACTATTATTTTATGTACATACTCTCTAGTATAGTTGTTGAATAAACAATCACAAATAATAATCAATTGTACAAAATGCCAGTTCAAAAATTACGTTTCTGTTTATGAATGGACAATAATGAATTATTATACGACTATGACAAACTTCAATCTTCTTATTTTGCTGTTGTTATTTTTATTTTTAATTTCACATCCAACAGCAATTACTGTATACTCGCCATTAATAGGATGGAATGCTTTATAAACCTATTATCGATATCATACAGTTCTGTAAACATATACAATGTTGCATGTTTTAAAACTTCATATATAGGGATTTCAATATGACTTATTCATATAGGCAAAGTTTATCTGCTATATATGAATTACATGATTTCTTGTATCCAATTTTGGCCTCTGTTGTTTGCCTCTTCTTTGTTTTGCTAATTTTCCTTCCGACGCTGGTTTTTCATGTTCGACAAGGAAAAAAAAAAAAAAAAAAAAACCTCCCTCCCTACTATGAAATTTGATACTAAAAGGATGCTAACCAATTATTTTTTTTTACGTGGCCTTATATAAGAAATACCACTAAAATTGTTTTAAATTCATTTCCTTAACATTATGATTGTTACTCATCCAAACATACAATTTAAGAAATTCAGAATTAATTTTTATTTTTCAAGGATTTCTGGGTTCCATCGGACTATACATCTTTAAGTTTAAATGAAATGTCATGAACATGGTGCAACAACGTTAGAGGCCGCTATTAAGATTGCCCAACAGGTGGAGAGCGCAAATGAAGCTCACCAATTCTCACTCACAACTGATTCCAATTTCCCTTCCCACCCCTATCAGCTGGATGGTGTGAATTCCCTCAAATGAAAGGTTTGCGCGTTAAATCTAATAGTAATGTCGATGCATTAGTGACAGCGAATGATGTCATAAAATCGGAATTATCGGATTTGAAATCCATTTTAGTGGATTTAATGAATGTGGTTTCTACCTTACAGAGCACACTGGATAGGATACCGGTGGTGAACGTGGGAGGCCTTGTACCAGGGATGCAACCCCTGACAGGTACCTAATGTTGATTATTATAGGAACCATTCCTCCTCTTGGCATAGGGACAGGACACCCGAATATTGGCTGGGTAGATATGATCACTCTGACTCCCGTAACCGAGATAGGACGCCCGAATATCCGCAGGGTAGATATGAGCATGCCGACACACATTGCAGACAAAACAGTCCATACCGCAGGGCATACAAAGGTAGTCCCAAATGGGTTACATTTATCACCAAATATTCTAGTTCGGGAAACTAAAGTCAGCTGGAAATGTGGGTCAATATTCGGCTTATGCAAGTGGAAATACTAGTGATATGCAAATACCCCTCAGTTGTCATCAGCAGATGACCAACTTGTACATAATTCAGATGAGATTTTTGGTGTTCCTCTTAGGGATTTAACTCCCACATACTGTACAGTTGTATGGTGAGGGTCACGAAGTCAGTGCTTTAATTGACACTGGTGCTAACATTTCTTTAATTTCTAATCAGTTTATAAATTCTTAAAGTCAAGAAGATTTGAGAAAGTTTTCACACGGCTGTCAGTTGACGGCAGCCCC